GGAGCGCATGCAATACAAACCATTACATTTAATTGACAATTACTTTTTCATTCAATAGTCAAACTACATAACATAGACCTAAAATGTGTACTGAGTAAGTACAAATTTGAGATCGGGTTTAAGCGATCGATATTCATGGTAACCAGTGATCGGATTAAAAAAAAAATCTGTGTGGTAGAATCTGGAAAAAAATGTGGTAGATTTCAAACAAATGTGGTAAATCTCAGGTTTTGGATCAAACTTTGTACAAACATTAAAGAAATTCTGTAAGGTTTCACCTAAATTGCAACTTTTTAATTAGACCCTAAAAAAAATTAATTGGAGTATAACAAAGTGCTAGATTGAAGTTGCTAAAAATTGCATAGCGTTTTGGCAATTTTTTTCTTGACAGTGTAAAGCGGTTCCTTCCATATCAAAATATTCGAACATAAAATTTGTTGCAACCTTGCGAAGTGCTGTCAGCGTTTCATTCTATCACATCACGATGTAGCGAACGAATGTGGCACGTTACAGAAACCGCTACTTGTGATTTGCTGATTTTGACAATTCTCAAGTAAATGTAAACAACGCCTCAGAAACTTTAGATGCATTGAAATTTACTAATAGTTTCACAAAAATCACGTTTTTTTTAATTTTTTTATAAATCATATATTATAAAATGTATCGTAATGAAACCACGTTTCCTGTCGAAAAATTTATTGCTGAGAAAATTTACTATTTTACAGTTTATTTTATCCTCCCCTTCGGCTTTGGTTACTTTTACTCGAGAAATTTCATCGCCGCCGGGAATGCGGAATCTTGTATTATATCATTCTTGTTACCATATAGTGTTTAGTGTTGGACAATTTTCGCTCTTAAAATTAAGAAAATTATGTGGAGCAAAAATTAAACTAGGTACTCAAAAACGCGAATATGTGGTAGATTTCAGACCTTGTGTGGTAGATGCTCAAAAAATTGGCAGATCTACCACAATGTGGTAGAAGTCCGATCACTGATGGTAACTAGTAAATAAACCTTTGTTTACAAATCAGCGGCAAAGAGAAATTTGAATTATAAGTGGAAAATCAGTTAAAATTATGTTAATTTGAAATTTTTGAGTTGAAGACTACGTAAAAACTAATAGCAATGGAGTACACTAAAACGTTTGCTGCAGGAGCCTTAATTGCAAAGCAATGGAGTGCACTAACATATTCACTATTCTCTAATATATTAGGTGAAAAATTAAATATTTTCGCATTTAGCAAAATTAAAACAAGTTTTTCGCTGTAATGTGAACTGTTTTGGCAGTTTCAACTCGTTCTTCTTTTCGCTCTATGCTTTTTTTACTTGTGGTACACAAATGCCAACGGCCAGGACGGCGCAATCTTGTATTCTATCATTCTTGCATATGGTCGATTATTTGACTGGCAACGTTACATTCGTATGCATTTCATCTACAAGATGAATCAATTGCCCATTAAGTCACACAAAACCAACTGCGCTTTTTAGGTGATATGACTAGGCATGATTAAATCTATGTTTCTGTAAAAGAAAGGTTTTAATAAATTCTTGGGTTTCAAAGTCATAGGTATTCGAATGTGCACTGGCTACGTTACACTATTTGGAAGTTCAATGATGGGTTGTGTCAGAAAGTTCTTCAGTATATCATCTACAAATCTGCATACTCAATTGTTGTTTTAGGTTTTTTACAATTTTTGTTCATAAAATTTGGGCACTGGTAACGTTACACAAAACACTGCCACGTTACACGTACAGTTCTCTTGGGCAAGCTATAACCAAAAGGCTTTGCTTATCCATTTTTTCTTCGCATTCTTATTCTGTCATCATAACCAAATATTTGAGCTAAAATTGGAATCTTCTATTGCAGGATTAAAAAATATAACTCGATTATACTTAAAAAGTCTAAAGTCAATAATCATCCAACACTAAAATTTTTGACCGAAAAATTTAATTAATTAATTAATTAATTAATCCCAATGTCTTTTTACCCTCCATTCCCGCCCAACCGACACGAGGGGCGCAGTCCGCATGACGTACGGAACCTTTTTTTGTTTTTTTTTAGTTTTTTGGTGCCGAGTAGTGGAAACAGGAGTTTGATAAGTGTCGAGATCTAAAACTATTCCGCTACAGAATCAAATTCATGAGCTGATTGGATATTCTAAAGATAGTATTTCAATTATTGAGAGTGGAAATAATAGTTTTCTT